CTTGTCTTTTAAAAGATAAACCCATACCTTTCCACACCTTTCTCATATAATCATCAATAATAGACAAGAAATACCTATTTTCACTCGAGGTGAGATTACTAGCAGCACCTTACAAGTCTGAATGCACATTCTTTAGTTTTTATAAATACTCGTGGAGAAGGAAGATCTATAGTGTTTACCAAGCACACGGTAATCATCAAATGACAAATTAGGCACATAATCGTTACCAAAAAGTACCATTTTCATTGAAGAGTTTGAGACCTTTAATATCTACATGCGCAAGTTTATTGTGCCATTTATGTATGTGATTGGTGTAGTAATATAAATATCATTTCTCCTAGTTCCCTTAATGGAAACAAGAGCATCTTTAACCAATTTTAAAATTTCATTTCCAATTTTACCTGTAAAGTCAGCCTTTTCAAATTTCTCCATTGAAATTAAGTTTTTAGATAATTCAGGAATGTATTTAACATCTTTTAAAATATAAATAAAACTAATGTTGAACTTTAATGTAATCTTACCAATCCCAACAACAGTATAAGCAAAATTATCACATAACACAACATGTCCATCATTTGATTCATGCAAGTTTTCAAATTAATCTTTTTGTGATGTTAAATGAAAAGATGCATCAGAATTAAGTATCCACTCATGCAAACGAGAATTGATAGTTATATTCAATTCATCAAGATAAGCATTAGGACTTGTAATCGTAAACAGAATTAAGTAGAAGAAAATACATTTACTTCATCTCTCTTTTTACCCTTTAGCTTACCCTTCTTTCTAAAGAATTCTTTTATAAAATGCCTTGTGTTCCCATAACCACAACATTTTCTAACCTTAGTCCTAGATTTTGATCTAGACACATCATTTTCTTTCTTTTTACTTTCATTACTATTTGAATGGCCACCACCATGTCAGTTTCTATCCTTTCCATGTGGATCTTACCACATTTCTTATCAAGTTTTTCAACTTTATTCTACATCTCTTTACTTCTACGAAAGTCAATGACATTTTTAGGCATCAAAGTGTCCCTATCATATTTGATCGCATTTTTAACTTCCTTATAAGTGTCGTGCATGAAATTAAGCAAGATTATAGCTTTATAGATTTTCGATACCGTCTCATCATAGTTAACGATATCTTCGAGAAATTTGTTAAAACTGAAAAACACTCAAATAAGTAAAGTTTGTTTGGAGTAAATTTGAGCGAATACAAGCCTTTTAATTTTTTCCAAAGTTCTTTTGTGGTTTTTAGTTTTCCCACTTCCCTCAAAATAGCGTTAGACAAGTGTAAAATGATTAAAGTATAAACAAGTTCATCGACTTCTTCTTTTTGTTCTTTTAAAAAATCAGCAAGAAAATTGCATTCAATTGTTTTTGTAACCTTTTGTTAGACCAAAATGCCTCTCATATTTTGTTGCCATATAGAAAAACTATATTTTTCGTTAAAAATTCTCAAATCAAAATTGGGAGTCGTTATTTTACGAATCAATTCAAAATGTACAAAATCACAATCAAGCCACACAGAAGTAGTCTTAAGATCAAAGATAATATACACCGTTCTAGATTCTCAGCGTCTCGTGAGATTTGCAATCTCAGATTAAGAGAGTGTTTGAACAGGTAAGGTCTAGTTATTCTAACGAAATTAACTAGGTAACAACGAAGTATGTTAATCAAAAATAATTTCAACTAAAGCAATTCTAAACAAAATATACCTCAAAGGTAATAGATGGATTTCATCAAAATAAAATACTCTAATTTCTAGCACAAGCAATGGTTATCTCACATTGTAACCCCAAATCCTATTATTACTCTACATGATGATGCGCTAGTGCTGATATTTAATCGGGACAAGCCAATTTACCAAAGTGGACCATGTCTGAAGTTCTTAAAATCGAGATATGTGAATCTAAAGCTTTAGGACCACCACTATTCGCCCTAAAATTTCACCAAATGTTCCAATGCAAATGACCAATAATTGCAGATTGAGCTTTCAGGGACAAAATCATTCAATTTTTTTCGTACAACCTGAAACACGAAATTAAAAATATCAATATGTTCAGAAAATTAGTATGAGCAGCCTATCTGAAAAAAACTTCACCAGAGTCGTCGTTACATGCCTCGCCAGAGATGCATGCATGCCGCCGTTGCGTCCCACGCAAGGAGGAGCACCTCCACCTGCTAAAGCTGGGTCTAGTCTTGGTTTGTTCGGAATCCCAGCTTTCAGGTTCGATCACTTCGAAAAATGGCATGATTTTAGACGATTTTTAGTTAATTTCTGACTTGATATGCCCACACGAGGCTTTGATGTCAAATCTTGTGCGAAAGAGAAGATCGTTAAGGCGTTTTTGGGCTCAAATTCTCCAATAATCGACACCACTATGAAAAAACCCAAACTCCCTTCAACCACCCCATTTACGGTTGCTTTTTGTTCACCCACTTAAAACCCACAAATGAAGCTATAATCACAACGAGGAAGTAACCACAAAGGTAGTAGAGTGAATGAAAACAGTGGGCAAAGACACAAAGAGAGAGCCACCCACTTTCACACACACATTGAGAAGAGAGGAAAGGAACAGATTCATATATCCAAGTGAAGGAGAAGACCAAGGTCAACGGGGAAATTAGGGTATAGTGTTGGGTCAAGGCCCAATAAGCAAATAAGTGGACTGCTAAGTGGGATCCCATTTATTAACTGTCCAAATATGGAAAAATGGGCCATGAGTAGCACCATTTCAAACTCATAAAAATACTCTTAAAATTAGATGTGTTTTGAAAAATCATATGAATTTTTTTTTAAAGTAAAAAATACTGTGTAAAATTAAAAATTGACACAATGTCACTTTTTTTATGAAAATTGTGTTAAAAAAGTGACACAGTGCCACTTTTTTGTATAATATAACATTTTTATTAAAAAATTACATACAATATCATTTTTATTAAAAAGTGATGTTTGTCACTAAAAAAAAAAGTGATAGAAATTTCTAAAAGATGATTGGAAAAAAGTGACAAACACAAAAAAAAAAAGTGATAATTTTTTTTTAAAAAGTGACAATTACTAAAAAAAAGTGACAAAAATCCAAAAAAGTCGTAAAAAATTAAAAAAAAAGACAAAAATTTTAAAAAGTTACACAGATTAAAAAAAGTGACAAAAAATAAAAAAGTGGCAAACACTAAAAAAGTGACGAAATTAAACATGAGACATAACTTTATTTTAAAAACACAACATCCTATGAGTTGTAAGTGACATAAATTTAAAAAAAGTGACGAGAAGTAAAAAAAATTGATGAAATCAAATAAGTGAAAGATAATATTTATATAGTACAACAGTAAAGCACAACAAATAATATACAACAACACTATAGTGCAAGAGAATTGACAGATTGTAGTTCTATTCGGACTCACTATTGAATACCCGACTTTTTACTCTAAGCTAATGCAAGTTAACATAATTTGCAAATATTTTTGTTATAGTTAAAATAAATAAGCTATCTACAAACATATCTCACTAATTTCTACTACGTAAAGAATCTCTAACAAGTTATATTCACAAAATTCAAAGGCCTAACCTAGTATCATAATGTCTCATTCAATGACTCACATAGTACATAAGTTGTTTAAGCGCGAACAACATGCTTCTGCATCATCCCCACATTTGCAACTTCTTGATTTTATTGAATCAAGCAAATATCACTTACATTTGAACTTTGAACCTCAAGGACAACACAAGAATCAATTTGCTTCTTGTCTAAGTTCTCCCCCATGATTGTGGAGTCGACAACAAATCAAGGAGCATGCCTTCAAATAACACCCTTAAATCTAATGAAAAATCTTGAAAAGCTGTGGCAATTAAAAATGAATTGACATTGAAACATGCAGAGGGAAGTAGAAAATAATATTATAACCAAAGGAAAAAAATTAAAAATTATGGGAAAAAATGGGACGTTGACTTTGTTCTTCAATTTTTGGAGCTCAGAGTTAAAGCCCTGCTTCGTGAGCTCTGAAGTTGACGAACAATTATCACGCTCCACCAATTTTGGTGCAAATTCGTTCACCACTTCACCTCCCAGTTCCATCTTCTCTTCTGCTCTTCCATTCTCAAACAAACTAATATGGATATCCAATCAAATTATATAAAAAAATAAATAAATAAAGAAAAAAAATCAGATTATTCGAAGAAAATGATTGTACTCTCTTTCTCCACTTGTTAAGATGAGGGGCAGAGTTGTGGATTTCAATTTTTTTGCTTTTGCAATAGAGGGTACCCAAATACCTTAAACACGCCTCTAACACGAGGAATAAATAATAAAGCAGCTCAATAATAATTGGGAAAACAATCTCACATAGCATCAAAAGACCTTGCAGTCTAGAGAAGCCATCTTCCCTTGCCATTTTCGAATTTTTATCTGGCAGCTTTCATCCACCAGTGGCATCATGTGATCCATCAAAACTTAATTTTCTCTTCATCCCGTTCGATTCACTTTCTTCAATCATGATTCTAGTCTACAATCAGTAGTGTCGCGTGAGTGGAGCCTTTAATGGATGAATGAATTGCCTTCTTCTTTGGGTGGGTGAAGCTGCTGCTGCTTCTCTTGGTTGAATTGTGAGTTTTGGGACGGTTTGGGATTTTTGCTTTTGGGAATTTTGGGACTATTTTAGGGCGTATTGATTACGGTTATTAAATGTTTTGATTTGTTTTAAGCATATTAATCTAATTTGTTCTTTTTTTTAGAGTAGTGGACCTAATTTCCTCTTAAATTAGGTTGTTTTAAATGACCCAAACACTTTTGGGCTAGATCATTTCATCGAGGTATCGATTTACTCTTCAGTTATTTGATCGATATCGATTGAGAAAATATACCGAGTCACCAAAGAGGTCGTTTGACAATAATTTACTCAATAATAATTTTTTCTTTCTCTAATTCAGATGACGATATGGGTGGTCGTGAAAAAAAAAACGTTACATGACCAGAATGGCTATGGCAAAATAAAACTAAATTGGATGTTCATGATGAGAATAAGTATAAAGTTGGGGTGAATTTAACCCTCGAATAATATCTGAATTATAATATTTAAAAATTGCGAAAAAATTGAGTTTCTGCGATGCGGTACGAAATTTGCTTTATCCTTCGGATCCGATCTCTGGTTATATATTCTCCTCTCTCTCTCTCTAAGTGTACATATTTGCGAATATAATTTCTATAGTTTTGCTGCTTTTCATTCATAGATGGATCCATGATATGGTGTTGGTTTAGGAATTAAGGATTGGGTTCAAATTTTGACCGTGAAAGTTCGTATTTTAAGCTTCTGTTCTTGGATTTAATTATTATTTTGATTTGGAAGATATTAGTGGTAACAGAAGTACATTATATTGTATGACCTTTTAGTTCTGTATTCTGATTGCAAAATTGTGGGACTTGTGAGCTTTGGAAATGAACTGTGCGTAAATTGGGAAGGGAACGATTTGGATTTTATTGAAATTTGCGAAATATTTTGAATTTTTGATTGGGCAGTTCTTACACGAAGTTTAAATTAATATTAGTAAACCATTATTTGAACTCGAGGGATAAAAAAATCCAACGATTTTTCTTCCTCCATTTTGGTGAATGATAAAAAAAATAAAAATCCAATGGTTTACAGTCAATTCTTTTGTAATTGCTTAACTATTGCAACTATTGGTCATATATAATATAATGTTAGTAATGTATGCCATCTAAAGAGAAGTGATGTTTTACTCTGGAAATTAACATATCTGACTATGAGAAGCAATAAGTTTAATTTAACGCATGAGGACGTGTTCATCTTGCCAAAAATTCGATGATATTTGGATTATTACTTTAATTGGCTTATCATCAGCATAGATTTAATTATTTGAAATATATGGGCGCGAACTAGTTGTTATATTGGACTACTTGAGTACAAATATGCCAGGCGTACTGATTCTCCATTCTAACAACTAATTATCTCTAGGAATTTCATCAAGGGCACCTAACTAGTTGTTTCTTCTGGGAAATATTAATATAGACATGGAAAGAAGATATTGCTTTCTTTATTTTTTGTAATTTTTTGAATCTCTGTCTTGAAAAATGAGTCTTATATTTATGTCTGAAATAGAATTTTCTGCTTTTCTTTGGTGAAACTTAGTTCATTTGTATAATTCCTTTATTGTGTTCGACTTTTGAGATAAAGAAGAACAAACAAGATTTTCAAGTTTTAAATGCAATATATATTTTCTACAGGAGATATCATAGTTGAGGCAGTGCGTACATTAAAGGAACTGGCTATAGTTTCGTATCTCTTTGACTCTTGTTTTAACACTGAGAGATGGCAGAAAAAGCATGTGTAAAGCGCCTTCAGAAGGAATTTAGAGATCTCTGTAAAGTAAGTAGTTTTCCTCACCGTCCATATGTTCCTTGTTTGTCTTAAGGCAAACTAACTAAGAGTTGCATGGTTAATGCCGACTTCAAGGCACTAAGAAGATACTGCTTATCAAAATTTTGAATTCTGTATTCAACCATTGTCAACATGCAGACCTGATTTCTTTTTCCCATGTTGGCTGCACGAAGTTTCAGTTTTCAGACTTTTATTCCTCAGCAGATTATTGTCAAAAAGAATGTATAAATGTAACTGGAAGACTTTTTTGTTGTAGTGTGTGTACATTTCTGCAGTTCTGTAGAGTATCAGTGTTTTACATCGCTAAATGACTTGCTCTCTCCCTCTCTTTCAACATATGATATACTTTTAAGGTTTATAATTGTTTACAACACAAAGACTGGTGCCTTTTCTTCAGATGTTTTATGGATATTCCAGTGATACTTATGATTACTCTAATAATGGAAACAAAATAATTCCCTAATGTTTAGCACTCAACTACAGGTTTAAAACCTTAAACCCCTGTGCCACCTGATACATACCAGCTCAACTTTCTTCTTTGTGGCTTTGCCTGAAATAAAATACTTTTGTAATATATTAATTCTATTCAGGCTTTACTTGTAGTTACACAATAATTTTTTAACTGGATTGTGAGTGAATGTTTATTTTATGCATTTGAAGGAACCTGTTTCCCATGTTGTGGCACGTCCTCTTCCAAATGATATCCTCGAGTGGTGTAAGTTACTTTCTCTGATTGTCTTCTTCAAATGTATAAGATAGTGCCGCGTGATCTTTTATTACACTTTATCAATTTTCACTTTTTTATTTTTTTTTTTACATTATCGCGATCAATCAATTAATCAAAAGTAGAGCTTGAAAAGGATATTGAATTTTTTTTTTGTTTTATATGTCCTGTTCATTTATGTCGTATAAACTGTTTATTTGTGAGTGTGGCTTGTGTATTGAATTTATTTTATTTTATATGTCCTGTTCATTTATGTCATATAAACTGTTTATTTGTGAGTGAGGCTTGTGCTTTTTGCTCTCACTTCTGCTTCCCTATTTGATCCTCTTCTCTTTTGCCCCATTTTCGAAATTGTTTTTCTTACATCAAATGACTACTATGGCAATGCGTGCTTTACCATGATTAGAAGTAGTAAAAACCTCAGTCCTTTGATCATTAGCAGGATTGTCAAATTGAACGAGCGAAATATTTGTTTTGAAGAGTTAATGTAGTTCTTAAGTGTCTAGACATATCTTGCAAATCCTTTATTAAAATTTTTAGAGGACACTATTAGCATCTGATTTTCCATGACACTTTATGGATTCTTCACGATTATATCTTTCTGTTTGGCTAGATTAAACTCTGTAACTTGCAAAATATATTTTCTTTCAGCCCTGCATCTTTCCTTGAGTCCCTAGAATCATTTATGATTTACCTCTGTAACCAATGGTTATTATCCAGTCTTGTCTGGTCCACTCATATTTATATGATTCATCTTCTAACACAATACGTTTTCCTATTTTACGATCAGACTATGTTTTGGAGGGAAGTGAAGGGACGCCATTTTCAGGTTTCTAGCTCTTAGTTTGTTCCCTTTGTATCTGTAAAATATTTCTGGAACATTCATGTTCAGCCGTTCGTGAATGTGTGTGCATGCGAATTTTCTTCTAAGTTTTCTGAAGGTGTTTTTATGTTCTGTTATATGATGATACTAATTTTTTGTCTTGTTTTTGGTTGTTCATCGCTCCAAATGATAAGGTGGATATTACTATGGAAAGATTAAGTTTCCTCCAGAATATCCATTCAAACCTCCAGGGATCAGGTAACTAGTCAAGTTTGCATTCAGAATTTTACTTCAATACTTTAAGCATTATTCCGTACGTGATTTGAGGCAGTAAAGACTAGCTTTTTCTGACGTTAATATTTCCTTGCTCTATAGCATGATTACTCCAAATGGTCGGTTCATGACACAGAAGAAAATTTGCCTGTCTATGAGTGACTGTAAGTGACCTTTGGGTTACAGTGAAATATTATTCTCTCTCTGGCGTCTCTGAGATGTTTTTTAGTTCCTTCCACTTACATCATGTCACTTTCCAGTCCACCCAGAAAGTTGGAACCCCATGTGGTCTGTCTCTAGGTAATGAGTTGTCAAGATTGTATTTCTTCTTTCATAGCAGTTTCTAATTTCTTGAGCTGACTTCACTTTATTTACTTGCAGCATATTGAATGGACTCCTTTCATTCATGGTGAGTTCAAGGTGCATTGTTATAGATGTACCAATGCGGTTCTCAATTCATTTTGCACATTTGTGACTCCTCATTTTACTCTTGTTCTCATTAAAAGTTAACTTAAGCAGAAGTTTGGTCAAAATGGGAGTATTCATTGAATGTTCAGATCTCATTATGCTTTAACGTGTTTCAGATGGACAGCAGTCCTACCACAGGCAGTGTGTCTACTACCGTAGAAGAGAAACAGAGATTTGCAAAGGCTTCTCTTGCTTTCAACTGTAAGAAGTGAGTCTTTTCCCAACTTGATCATCTTTCTTCTCTTTCCTTCTTTTTCGGGTATGGGTTGTCCACATGGGATTATTTCCTTCTTGGTTTGAAAAGTAATAGAAAAAATTGCAGAGCTGTTGTAAGCCATTTGTTGTTTGTTTTCTCAGCTTACTAAAATTGTCCTTGTTGGAAGTCTTTATTTCATGTTTATCGGATCCCCAGTTCTGTTATTTCTTATTGAACAATGTCCCTGGCATGTCTACAAGTTGGCAATTTCATTTTGTTGTTTGTCTTTGTATATCATGCTACATTCTTGTATCGAGTGTTATGGGCTCAAATGTAATTGATAGTTCTTTTCCTTTTCAAACATCAAGCACTGTTAATTAATGCCACGTAGTAACTCTACAAACAGGGGAAAGAAAAGTGCTAAGCGCTATTGGCAATATAGTTCTGTGTAAGCTACAATTGTTATATGGTTCCCTAGACCATGTGGTAGTAGTATTCAAACACAGTATGAACAAGTTGAGACCCTTGTGGATACTGTCTATATTTACAACTTTGGGCAAAACATTACTCTTTAGAATGCCTTTACAAATTTTTGTAGCCTCATGTTTTTTATTTTTTCATAACAGCCCTACATTCAAGAAAGTGTTTCCAGAATACTTGGATAAGTATGAAGAGCGGCTAGCAGCCGAGCAACCTAAGCTTGAGCAGGACACATCTGCACCTACTCAAAGAGGACTCTTGAGCCCGTTGTTAGAGAAACAAGGAGCAAAGGCGGAGTTGAAAAAAATTGAAGCCCCAAAGGAGTCAAATAACCGGAGGAAGCAGTCTTTTCCGGTTTGGTGGTTGTTGTTGCTGGTTACCATTTTTGGTGTTGTAATGGCTCTGCCTCTACTTCAACTTTGATAGATGACAGGGTAAATTGTAAAAGTGTGTGCGAGTGTGGACATGTGAGCATTTCAAACCTTGATTGACTCTCGAGTAAATTGATGTCCTAGAATTCTTATGTATCTTAACAGGGTTCGTATAGAGCTCATACAAACGATGGGCATCAATTTGATCTCTGTCTAATGGGGTTCACCAAAGTGCTGCCACTTGGTTTGTTAATCTTAAGATTAAGTGCTTACGTTTTCTTGTATTCATACTCTGCTTCTATTGTTCGTTCGTGTTTCTATACTTTCTATTTGTTTTCTATTGAACAAATCTGTTTATATGAATTGCACGTGTGTTTTCTTCCAAACGTTTGGAAACCCTCTGCATCGAATAACTAATGACGTTACAAAACTAAAAATTTGGTGATAATCTACTAGTAAAAATGGTCGAGCGATCAAGTTGCAAAAATATCTGAAAATTGGGGATTGATGTTACCAAAAATCGTACCTGTAAATTTTTCGAGCTTGATGACTGATAAGGAGCACGAATGTGATCTTCCGGTACCTAAAACAAAGACAACGAGGTGTGTTCTCGTCGCCCATCCGATGCTTAAGTAAGAAAGAAAATTTTGTGCGTGAGGCTATGTGCTGGAGAACAATGAAAAATGTACCTGAATAATGACTCAAGGTTCTGTATTTATAGAGGTAGGTGGTGTGTTCATACTAGGATTCCGTAGTGCACCTGTAGTAGGACAGTTTGATTTTGCAATCTTATCCCAATGAGTCCTACGCGAGATAGGAGTTTGAATTGCGGTATAATTGTGATACCAATAGAGTTCTTCTGGGCATAGGAGACATGAGTTGAGGATTTTTAGTCAGAATAAATTTCAAGTTGGATAAGGCGTTGACGTAGGTCATAATCCCGAGGATATAATCTTGAGGACATGTCGAATGATTGTCGAATAATTCTTGGGGCTAATAGCTCGGGCATATGGAGATACCCGAGCACATATGTCCTGAGCATATTGGTAGACATATCGACGAAATAGAGTCCTCGGGATAAATACGTCGGGCACAAATACTTGGTTATATCACTGGCCCCCGTGCACCTGTGCTCGATTATATGCATGAGGATAGGTGCAAAAGGTCCAAATTACAGTCCTCGGCATAACACCTTCGACGATTCATTGCTGAGGAAGGACTCCTGAGGGCTGACGTCAGATGTGGTAATGACGCCAGCCCTAGTAGAAAGGCGGTGTAATTTTTAGACCGTGGGATGTAGGACACGTGGCATGATCGAACGGTTCATGATGCGACCTTTGGCCTCCCACCCATGTTTCCCTATATAAGCCTCATTTCCTATTCATTTTTTACTTTTTCACTATCAGTAAACCTTGTCGGAATCGTTGTGATAAGGTGAGTCCTCAAGACTTTAAGTTGTTTGTTTTTAGAAAAGTCTTATATTTAAGATAGGATGTCGAGCAGTGATAGCGATACGTCATCCTCGAGTTCGGGAACCCCAACCGAGGACTTAGGGCAGTCAATAATACCTATGGTCGTCCCCATAAGTGCTAATCCTCGAGCCCAGGATATCTCGACCCCGTTAGTATACCCCAACCAGCCTTGTAGGTTTAAGGAGCACTTAGCAGTGGCGATTGCTAGGGAGTTCGGCCTGATGCCGAACTGTGATATTAGGTCTCTTGGCTATGAGGATAGGGTAGCTATTGCTCGGGAAGGAGAGTTTGTCACTTTCAAAGATTCTCTAAAGGGGGGATTTAGGTGGCCACTGCACCCCTTTTTCCTCGCGCTCTTGACCGAGCGTAATATGAGCCCGGGCCAATTAGTGCTGAACGGATGGAGGATGTTGACATACTTTTTTATTGCTTGTAGATACCTCGGAATTATCCCCTATGTGTCTTCGACCTAAAACAACTCCCCCAGTACTCTTGTTTTGCTTACCTCTCAACCCGAGGAGGGTTTAGAATCCCGAGGATGCCTAGCTCCCTGAATAGGTGGAAAGATAAGTGGTTCTATGCTATACCTCAAGATCCCGACATTCCCTTTAGTCCTTGGTAGGGGGTGCCTGATACTGCTAGGTTTTGTGGGGGTCAGGCGTACTTTGAGTCGTTGGAGAGGCATAGGCAAATGCTAGAGGAGCTCGAGCCCCTCGTTTATGACTTGGATGATATCCTCGGGGATGATATCCTCGAGCTTGCAAACATGAAAGGCATCGAGGGTAGGATATGTGATATTGACGCTTAATTTCCCGACCTATATTTTTCCTATGCTCGTGCTAATAACATGTTATTTTCTTTTCAGAGATGACGTTTGACCCAAGTGCCCTTCGTCAGGCGGTCAACAAGAAGTCCAAGGCTCCCCAGGCTCGGGCTCCAAGCCAGAGGAGGGGCCAAAAGAGACCTCGGGATGTGAGGCCTGAAAGGCGGACCAGTGGGCCTGGTGAATCGTCAAGGCCCCGAGGACAGTCCCCGGGAACAGGGAGGACGGGATCTCAGCAGCAGGATCTTCTGGGGACTCCTCGGGAGTCTCGTCCTCGGGGACCTGTTGACGTGGTCGACCTCGAGGATGAGCGCCTGCCATCGGGCCCTGCTAATCCCGAGAGATGCTCTCGGTGTCAGTCAGTGCTCAGCATCGTCGACAAATACCGGGCAGACGTCGACTTAAGCAATGGCTTGAGGGCTCTTGAGGCTATGGCCTTGAAGGTAAGATCGTCGGCAGTTTTTATTTATATTATTTTTCTTATCTTTACATCTCGAGGTTAAGTAACCCACACCATTTTTCAGACACTGAGAATAGCTCGAGGTCTTTCCTTGAAGGGGAAGGACGAGTCTTCAAAAATGGCCGACCTTGAGGGTGCCGTTTCTGCTCGGGATCTGAGGATCGCCGACCTAGAGGAGGAACGTGCTTAGCTGATGAGGAAGCGCGAGCATATACAAAATGATCTTTGCAATGCTCAGGATGAGGCCGGTACTGCGAAGGCTGAGGCTGAGCACTTCAAACTCGAGCTCGAGCGCAATCAAAAGGATTTGGATGCAAAGCTGGCCAATGCTCGGGAGTCGGGAGGATGCAGTCGAGAACTTTAAGAAGTCTGACGCCTTCAACGAGTTGAAGGGCGAGTATGCTATGGGCTCTTACTTTCATGCCCTAAAGGAAGCTCGGGCTTTCATTCGCCTGAGGCCAGATGCTCGCCCTGAGGATCTGAAGTCAATCCTTGAGGTGGCTGACGACCTTCATCTTTCAGAGTCTGAAGAAAACGCTGGGGATGAAGACGTCGACATTGAGGGTGATGATGTCGAGGAAGGCCAAGGCAGTCAGAACACCGACGCCTAATCCCTGAGGATTCTTTTTGTAATTGTAAAAAAAAAAAAAATTTTGATGTAAAATGCCCGATCTTAATAGAAATAGTTTTTCCTTTTCACCGAGCTCATTCTGTATTATCGTCATATTTCTATTTCATCAACATATGCATCGAACTTTCATTAACCAATATCTCGACGACCGAGAAGGATTAATTATCTCGATGACAAAGACAATTAATTATCTCGACGACATTATTGAATTAGTATCCCGACGACTAAATAATCATGACGATTGAGAAAAAACAATTTGATTTTAAGCAAGTCATAATGCCGAGGACAATAGCGAATAGTTTAACACCTTGACGGTAAAACTGTCCCGATGTTGGTATTGAATTACCTCGAGGACTAATCGTGATGGGTGGTAACCTCGAGGTGTTCGAAGAATTGTGACCGACCTCTGTACATAAGTTTATCCCGAGCTTTTACTTTCCAGCCTTGGACAAAAATATAAGGATATATGGTCGGGGATGTATGTCCTCGGGATTTATACTTGTGCTGCACTATTTTGATGTGCTGATTATGAGCTCCAAGATTTTGGTGCTTGCGCGAGGCAAGGCTTACTCGGGGCAAGGCTTTAGATGGCTTGCTCGAGGGCAAGGCTTACATTGGCTTGTCAAGGATAAGGCTTAAGGTGGCTTGCTCGAGGGCAAGACTTATATGCTTGCTCGGGGCAAGGCTTTAGACGGCTTGCTCGAGGGCAAGACTTACATTGGCTTGTCAAGGACAAGGCTTAAGGTGGCTTGCTCGAGGGCAAGGCTTACATGCTTGCTTGGGGCAAGGCTTTAGGTGGCTTGCTGGACGCAAAGCAAACTATCGGGCTGTTATACCCGAGGTTTGGATTTATTAATTGTTCGGACTGGACTTGGATTTATATTGTATCCAAGCTGCCTACGTATCCAAATGGGATCAAGCCGAATGTAGTTCATTACAAAAGAAAACGAAAAACATGCATGGGCACGCAGGCCCGCTAAACTAGAAATAAAATGCAAGGGCACGCAGGCCCGAAGAACCAAAAATAACATTCAGAAGAAAAAATGCAGAAAAAGAAAATCTCCTAAATGGGGTTGGGAATGTTACTTGTAATATATTTTTATATTGTCGACATTCCAGGGCCTCGGAAGAGGTCTACCCGAAGTGTCTCTTAGGCTGTATGCTCCTTTGCGAACCTGTCGTATGACCTCAAAGGGCCCTTCCCAGATGGGCCCAAGCTTCCCTTGGGGGTGGCCTGCTGCTTCGGCCCTCCTTAAGACCAAATCGCCAGCTCTGAACCTCCAAGCCTTGACTTTGCTATTAAAATGTTTTGCTGTCTTAGTTTGGTAGGAGGCCACCTTTATAGCGGCTTGCTCCTGTACTTCTTCCAAGAGATCAAGATGTTCAGTTGTATGCTCCGAGGTTTCTAGCACGAGCCTTCTATGGCTTGGCAGTTTAACTTCCACCGGGACCATTGCTTCAATGCCATAGGCTAACATAAAAGGGGTTTCTCCTGTGGTTGTCCTATGAGTTGTTCTATACGTCCAAAGTATAGAAGGCACTCGTCGGACCAAGAACCCCTAGCATTGCTTATTCTTGTTCGGAAGTCTTGCAATATGATTCGATTTGTTACCTCGGCCAGACCATTGCTCTGAGGATGCGAAACAGATGTCAGACGGTGATCAATCCCGAGGTTTGAGCAAAAGTCCCTAAACTGTTGATTGTCAAATTGCCTGCCATTGTCGGTGATGAGGACCTTTGGTATCCCAAACCTGCAAATGATAGATCTCCAAGTGAAGGCTCTTAGCTTGGGCTCCGATATTGTGGCGAGAGGTTCGGCCTCTACCCATTTTGTGAAGTACTCTACGGCTACAGCAACAAACTTTAATTGACCTCTTGCCACAGGAAATGGGCCGAGGATAT